TTGGCAACAAAAAATTTTTCGGGTGGTTTTTGACAAAAAAGAGTTTTTTACGGGTGGTTTCTGACAAAATTTCCTTTAATTTAATTTAATTTTCTTTTCTTTCTTTTTTTTTTTTTTCTTTTTTTCTTTCTTTCTTTTTCCTCTTCCTACATGAGCTACTACTCACTTTGCAACCACCGCAGCTTAGCTGCTGCCGCCACCTGTGCTCGCCGGAAACCGACGTTAGCCACCTCTGACCGCCGGCGATCACCACCGCCTGGCCTCCCACCGTGGCTGGTGTAACACCCTAGAAATTTCTTTCCTTCAAAATACTTGTTTTACTCTTTTTAAAACACAAAATAGGAAATTTTAAGACATTATCGCCACCGTGGATACGGCTAAGGCAATATCAAAGAAACACGGTGGAAGACTATCTTTAAAAACATTCAAAACAAGTCAACTATAAAGTCAACTAAAACGAAAGTAAAGTCAAACCCAAGTCAAACGAAGTAAAATAAAATCAACCTACAATTTGGAATCATTATAGGCCCTATTAAAACCAAACCAACTTCCAAAACTTTTGCGTTAGTCATGCATAATAATATCATAAATAATTAAGGCACTAAACACATCATATACTTATGGAAACTAGCATGATTCGCTTTTCACTCATGCCAATTCATGAATATGCTTCAATACCTGAAAAACTTATCTCTACTCGTTTCCAATACTCTCCATTAAAAATGGGTCATCATAGGGCCAAGATAAAGACAAGGCCAATAACACACAAACACACACAATCAGCAAAGTTGAGTACATAAGCGTAATTAACACACTAACATGCACATACCTATCAACACACAACTTACCGTGTTGCACCTGTTTTTCAAGCATACAATACTCAACAAAACTCCTCAACTAGACAACTACATAATTTATTTAGCGTTGATTACGTATCGAACGGGTTTCCCACTAACCTCCCCCAATAAATTGAGGTTACTGACACGGGAGCTAACCGTGCCAGCATCAATAACCACTCATAGGTGGCGGAATTCCTGCGCATAATAATATTAAAAGAAATGTACATCGTCTTGTACTCCAGTAATAGTTATGTTCAAATATAAAGTCACATAATTCCTCCAATATGTTCATACTCAAGGTATATACGTTCCAAGAGTTTTGGTGCGTAATCTCTTTCACTTTACGTTATTTATAGATTATTAAACTTGGTGATGACTCTCAAACTATAATAATTCCATCAACAATAATTATTTAATCAATCAAATGTACCAATTCAATTCATGAATAATTTGTGACCACATAATATTTAATGCTGAACCCTTTTTTTAATCTACCTCAGTGTCAAAGACACCTTAAACGCATAACGCACCACAAATTCTATTCCTCGGTGTTGAAAGCACCTTAAGTGCACTAAGGCACCAAAAATATAATTTACTTCTCGTGTACAAAGACACTTAAATAGCTCCTTCCTCATGCTTATAGCATCTATAAAAATTATATGAACCATAATAAAATTCCTTTTCAATATTCCAAACCAAATTAAACATTTAATTTAATTAAACATGTTCTCTAACATGCCACAAATAAATATGTGATTCATATACAACATGCCAAATTAACTATTTCCAATCACCAATCCAACAAATAATTTATTTCAACCAATCATGCTTCACAAATAATCCACCAAAACCATTCTCAATTCAATCAATCCAATTAATATCACCAATCTCATTTCAATTCAACCATTCCAATCAATTCCTAGCATGACACTAACTTGGAATCAATTATTCAAATCCTAGCATGTTTCTACACGCTTAATAAATTTTTGGGTACGCGTACGTACCTCAATTAAGCCCTTAAAGTAGCCGATCACACTACAACAATTCCCGAATCAAGTCTCCTACATAAAGGGACAGTAACACTATATTACTTCTCCTTGTATACACAATTTCCAGCAACTTAAAAATTCACTTTAGACTACTTAAAATAATCTGAAAATTATAGTAAAACCCTTAATTAAACTATTCTTTAATGGGTAATTAAACCCTTTTCATAAAACCATCAAAACTAGTACTTTAAATCAATTTCAGCACTTTTAGAATAATCTAAACCCATTAAAACACCATGAAGAATACATCTTTATACTTAAATTATCCATATAATCATTGGGTATATAAAAGCCCCAAATTAATATATATAAGAACCCTAAAAATCAAGTCTTTAGTAATCAAATACCCTAACTTTATAAAATCATAAAATCTGAAAAAATAATATCAATAATAATAATCTAATTTATAATTTTAAACCAACAAAACATAAAAAAATTGCATCGGAACTTAAACTATAATGCAGTTAATACACTTTGTAATAGTGGAAAACATAAATAAGCTAAGTGATATATATAATAAATAGCTGTAAAATATAAAAAGTAGAATAATGTTATTTTTGTCTAAGAAATAAATTAACAATGTTATATCTTTGTCCAAGAAATACTTCATAAGTTATTAGTAAAGTAGAAAGATTTCTAATAATAATAAATAAATAATGATGATGATAATAATAATAATAATAATAATAATAATAATAATAATAATATTTTTGAGGGAAATACTAATACTAATAGTAATAGTAATAATAATAATATAATAATAGTAATAGTAATAGTAATAGTAATAATAATACTAACAATAATAATAACAACAACAATAACAACAACAAGAATAACAACAACAATAATAACAACAACAACAATAACAACTAGGGGTGAGCATAAGGGATTTGTTAAACATCGCCCGCGTTTTTCTACATAAAGCCCACATTTTTTAAAAATGTTGACATTATTGCCCTTGTTTTAATTTTTACCGAAAATAAAATTTTTCACTCATAAAAAATGTGGAGCAGGACTGGATCGCCGAGTGAAACCGAAGAGCCCTCAACGTCGGGTAGATGCACCGGAGAGACGCCGTTGACGCCGGAAAAGGAGGTACGAAGCCATCTAAAACCACGAATTGGCGGCTGGCGTCCTGCCGGGACGCCGTGACCGTAGTGGTGGCGCCTAGCCAGGACGCCGCCACCGTGGCTCTGGCGCCTGGCCAGGACGCCGCCACCGTGGCCGTGGCGTTTGGCCAAGACGCCGCCGCCACGGTGGCGGCGTCCTGGCCAGGCGCCACCGCCACGGTGGCGGCGTCCTGGCTAGACGCCACCGCCACGGTGGCGGCGTCCTGGCTAGGCGCCACCACTATTTTTTTTTTTTTTTTTTTTAATTTAATTTAAAATTTGTTTATTTTTTTTTTTTTGTGTTACAATTTTTTTCTTTTTTTTTGGTTTTTTTTTTGTTTTGTTTTTAATTGTTTTAATTTGTTTTTGTTTTTAATTTATTTATTTTTTATTATTTTTTTTACAATTTTTTTCGTTTTATGTTTTTTTTTTGTTTTTATTTTTTTGGTTTATTTTTATTTATTTAATCTAAAGTTTTGTTTATGTTTTTTATTTTTGTGTTTTGTTTTTTTTTTTTTTTGAATACTTTTTGTTTATTTCTTTGTTTGTTGTTTATAATTTATTATTGTTTTTGCTTTTGTGCTAATGTTGTGTCAAATGTATTAATTTAATCTACTCTTATGTGATTATATTTATATGTTATTGTTGCAGGATTATGGTGGAGACGGAAATGATTATAGTGGGATTTTTGTACACGATGGTCTGTTCGAAGATGCTCAACAAGCGGTTGATTGGGCGAAACAGGTTGCAATTAGATCAGGTTTTTGTTTAGTAGTAGCAACTCATAAATCTCAACGGGATGGTAGAATGGATCGCATTTTGAGATGCGACCGTTATCGCAAAAGGGAGGAACGAGATTTCAGTCAAGCGATTCGGTTTGATACAAAGCGGAAAGGTTGTGGGTGTCAGTTCAGAGTAAAGGTTCGACAACAGCAAAGGGGTGACGGTTGGGAAGTGAAGAGTTACGGTAAATGGGGGTATCACAACCATGAGATGATCGCATATGAAGTGGGTCATCGACAGTTAAGTGGCCTAAGTCCTGCTGCGAAACTAATTGTAAAAGAAATGAGTGATGCTCAAGTGAAGCCTGCTAAAATATTAGCATCTGTGTTGGAGAAATTTCCTGAAGACCAGCCAAACCGAAGACACATCTACAACGTCAGACATAAATTGAGGTTTGAACGGTCAGAGGGAAGGAACCCTATACAGCAGCTTCTACACCAGGCACAAGCACGTGGTTACCTGTACTGGTTTGAATCTGATGAAGACACATCGGAGGTGACTCATTTGTTCCTTGTGCATCCTGATTGTGCTGATATGATTTCGTCTTGGCCATCTGTGATTCTGATCGATTCAACGTACAAGACAAACAAGTATAAGTTTCCACTGGTTGAGATGGTTGGGATGACTCCAACGAACCAGAACTTTTTGATTGGTTATGCAGTTATGAAGGATGAGACGGTTGCGAGTTACCGTTGGGTGTTGGAGAAGTTGAGAAATTACATCGGCCCAAGTGTTCAGCCATCGGCCATCGTCAGCGATTGTGAGGGAGGTCTCTTTGCCCCTATAGCGGAGCTGTTTCCGGAGTCGAGCCATTTACTGTGCACATGGCACATCAACAAATGCGTGAAAGTCAAAGCCTACAACCTTTTCAACAAGAACTTAGATTCAGCAGAGAGATTGGTAAATGGTAAGTGGCGGAAGATCCTGCAAGCTACCACGGTTCTGCCTTGGTGTTCGCGTGAGACCGTCACCAGACCGGTAAGAGAGGTTGCTATTGGATTTCTGGGGCCGTCATACAGACATTTCATCCGACTGGACCTGTCACCCGATTTTCCGGTCCCACCGATTATACCAACGTGGTACACCATTCGTACAGCAAGCGTAGAGGGCTGGGATGCGTTATATCATGACCGGGTGCAGCAGTGGAACAATCTAGTTGCCTTTTCTATGTGACCTAATATTGCTATTGCTATGTTTTTCCCATTTATTTAATTTTCGGATTCTAATTTTCGTATTTAGTTTTCCCATTTAAATGTGAACCTGTATTTAGTTTTCGTATGCCCACTAATTACAACTTAAAATAAAAGTTATAAAAACTAAAAATATAATGTCAAATTCTAAGAACTTAAAATAATAATTATAAGAACAGATAATGTTAACTTTTACAAACAACTAGGAAAATGTTTTATAAATGCACTGCCGACATATCAATAATCTCTCTGTGACGCCCACTGCCACTGCTCAAGGGCCCGTTCCAGTTCATCAATAACAGCTCTGCCTGTTGCAGTCGTCATGTTGTCCCTCTCCTCAAAAAGTCTGTGTCCCAACTGCGTCATCTTTCCCATCCACTACACATAACAAAACACATAAAATTCAATAACGACGTATTATGAGACGTATTATATGAAAAAAAACACAACTACAAATGTTTTATGAGACGTACCGCATCCACGGCAGTGGGCGGTGGCACATCATCATCATCGGCGTCGTCGCCGTGGTGGACGTCTCTGATCAACCTCGGGTGCGAGTGCCGGTTGTACCACTCCATGTAGTGCTGGTCACACATGGCAGCCACCCCAGTTGGCGGCCGCTGCAACTGCTCAATCCATATGCGGGCAACCATCGGAAACTGCTCCCACGTGCCAATCATGCTTGCCGGCCATTGGACGACGTACTCCTTCAACGACGCAGATCGGACGGCCTTACTGGGCCATGCTGGTGGAGGAGGAACAACTTGGACATATCCAAGCTGGCGAAGACAGCGCTGCGGCATGTACGCCTCTACGATCTCACGATACTGAATCAGTCCCGTGTAGAGGGTCCTGGGTACCCTATTACTAGGGTTCTGGCCGAAAGGCATCCAGTTCACCTGCACATTTTTTAAAATTAGTAAGATTCATACAATAAACACATCAAACTATAAAAGTAGAAATAATTTAAACACTTTACCTCTAATGGGGACATCCTGTCAAGCAATAACCGTATCGATCGCAGGCGGTCAATGGACTTCTTCTCGACACGCGGACTCCACGCACAGGCACGTGGCTGGCCATCCCCAATAGGAACCGGGTCGCGGTGTGGTCGAAACGCCGGGAAATACTCGTATATCCACGTCTGTAACAACGTCATACATCCAGTGATACCTGCCGCATCAGCCCGGCTCGAGAATCCTAACTGGCGATACATGTACGCTAATGTAGCCGACCCCCAAGAAAACTGGCCTACTCTGTCGGGCTCACACGCGTCAACTATGTCGCGTGGCCTGAGCTTGTTTCCGCTCTTATCCGGAAACAAGGTACACCCGAGAAGAAGAAAAACATATGCAGCCAGCTGTGTGTCCTGCGTCCTACGTGAAGTGGGGTGCAAACATCGCTGCAAAACTGCTGCGATCTTAACACCGCCGTGATCCCACACACCAAGTGCCGCTGTGTACAGCGCAGCCCTATTCAAGTTTATTGCGATCAAAAGCACGCAGACAGCAACAAGATGAAGTTTGGTTCCTATCAATCAATGCCGTAAATAGTAAAACTGCATTTGACTTGAAATGCTGGATATTGAAGTTGTAATCCATTGTTTATTCAGTTCTTCTGGTGCTTTAACAGCTAACCGGATAGCAGACTGGAACCGAATTAAGCTCTGAAATTCTAAAAACGGAAAAATACATACACCATAATTCCATACAAAGGAAAGACCAAAATAGTTATGTGAGTCATAATTTCTCAATAACTTTTTTTTTTTTTTTGAAAGAAAATGCAAGCTAGTTCATTAATCAATAGACAAAACGTCCATAGTTTCATAAACCAAAAGTTTTGAGAAATTAAATCTTTTCAATTTCTCCTTGGTGCCAACTGCCTAGTTTCTATAATCACTGTCTTCAAGCCCCCAGTCAAATTTTGCCAAATGAACAGGAGGTAGATTCTAAATATCATAGATACAAAGTCATTTATTAGATTAGTACCACTCTAACTATGTTACATCATTTTTTAGAAATATATTTTGATTATGCATGACAGAATTTCAATCAATGCGAGCAAATTGAACGTATATGACTGATAACAAGCTAAACTACTAAGTGCCTAGAAACATCACAAGATTGAACCGAAGTATAATAGATTAATAGGTACACACTCTTTCATCTCTAACATCAATATAACACTTGGCTGACCTTCTAAAGAGACTCCCAACATGGGTCAAATGTACACAACGACAACCCCAAAATTAACATAGACTTTCTTATTAGCCCTTAACCAAATACACAACAACCATCTGCTGCTTCACAGTAGATAAGAAGTTGGTCAAAGTTTAGATATGAATTAGTCAATTAGAATCGTAATGATCTGACAATGAAATCATCTTATTCACCAATCTTAAATTTCTTTAAAGCCGCTAACTAAAAGTCTAAAACCCTCGTTTTCTAACTGATAAACGAAGGCATTATAGATTATTTTTACTTCCGGCTTCAATAGGGGAACGGGAAATTAACCTATAAGTCAAGCAGTCAAGTTTAAAGCTCTAATCAGCTCTTAACATGTATGCAATCGTAAATGGTATTTAACGAATTGCCTCTCTAAAATGCCAAAATCATTGTAAAAAGATAATATAGACAATGATTTATTCATTAAACCAACAGTTTTAACAATGTACTTCGAAAACAGTCTCGAATTGCTCACAAGGTACAGCTTCACAATTTGGATACGCCCTCTCAGCAGCAAGCTGACTGTATGCACCAGGAACTCCCTGTAAATGCAAGTTTGATTCAAAAATTAATCAGAGACTTTATATTCGAAACACCTGTCAAAATTTCTTGATCAGGTAACTCCATTTTAATTTCTTGATGAAGAAACTCCATTATATATTTAAACAGCATTCTTGTAGAAATCTCCCTATAAACTTAACAACATTCGAGTGAAAACCTCTTTAATTTTTTTTACTTTTTTTTAAAGAATTATCAAAACTTTAACGTAAATTTTGACAACATTTTAGTCAAACTCCACAATTTTGGTAGCACAATTATATATTTATATATATTCTACTCAGGAAGAGCCACAAATTAGATACTACAGTTCTTATTTCCAGTGAAATAACTTCTCATTTAAATACATGCGTTTCAAATTATTTGCAACGATTTGAAGTGTGAGTAAAAAATATCTAATCATTGAAAATATCTAATAATTGCAAATAATTTGAAACTGATGTAATATATTTTTTTAAAAATCTGAAAATCAGCAACAACTTTTTCAAAATTTTGAAACCACACACTGGTATCTTATTTTTTATTTTTTAAAAATAACTGGTATCTTATTTATTCTCCGGAAGGGAGAGAGTAAAGTGCAAATTAGATCCTACACGCGGAAGCACGATTACCACAAGCCGGGAAAACATAAATTGAAATTGTACTATTGAAAGTAAGTAAAGGAGGACCTTCCACCGGGGTCATTTGAGGCCTGGCCCCCGGTAAATTATTGTAATTAATTAGTTAATAAACTTAAATAACCTTATTTTCCTTAAAAAAAAAAAAAAATTTGGGACATTTAGTGATTAGTTTTGAGTGAGAGGTAAAATATTCATATCCCGACCCCTTTAATATTTTCGGCCAAGATCCGCCACCGTAAGTAATGAAAGTGATAACTGAAAAGTAGGCACATATAATTGGAAATGAGCAATAAAAAAAAGTAAGAAAGAAAGACCTGATATGCAACACGAAGCAGAGGAAGTTGGGACGACGGATCAGCCATTGAATGTTCTGGGGTGGATGGAGATGGTGGGTGGGTGGGTGTGTGAATTGGAATTGTTAGGCAGACACACAAAAATGATTTATGACTGTATGAGTCTTACTTATAAAGGTAATCTGCACGGTTGGTTTGTACTTTGTAGCATGTGTAAATTACTAGATTATGACTGTATCAGTCTTCTTCCCATCTGTTTGGGTGTCAGTTGTTGTTGAGGTTTCAACTTTTCCTAAATAATACTCCCTTCGTTTCTGGTTGATAGTCACTTATGTCATTTTTTTAGCATCCAAAATGTTAGTCACATTTGTTTTTTTTTTTTCAAGTACTATTAATATCATTTTTTTACCAAAATTCTCTAACATTTGCAAAAATATTTGTGTAAATTTAATTTTATAATGTAAATTTTACTTTCTCATGTATTTTAATTACTTTCTCTCTATATTTTTTTGCATACTCAATGTAAATTTACCTTTTAAATGTACTTTCTTTAATTCTCCTTGATTCCCGCGATTTTTCTTTAAAAGTGACTATTAATCGGGGACGGAGGGAGTAATGTTCCTTTATGTTATCTGATACTCACTTCGTATTTAAATAAGTGAAATGTTTTGACTTTTTACATTATTTATCTAATATACTGTACTTTGAGTAATATTTGTGATTTTTATATTAGAATAAATTTATTCTTGTTATAATCATCTCAATTAATAATTTATTTTTTTTATACTCCATTGTTATAATTTTTACTTATTGATAATTGAAGATACCCTTAGTAATAATGTTGTATTGGCATATGAGCATATGAGAAACGTTTCACTTAGGGTGTGTTCTATTATCTGGTTTTCACTTATCTTATCTTATCTCTTATTAGAACTTATCTGAACTTTTCATACCTTATCAAAACTTATTTAAATCAAATTTATACTTGGATAACTCTTATTAGAACTTAGAACTTATCTAATTAAAGATGGACATCGTGTTGTGTCGTACCGTCGCGGGCCGTGCTTGGCCGTGCCGGGGTGGGACTCGTGCCGTGCCAAGTTTTGGCACACTCTAGCCCACGGCACGGCACGACCCACGTGCTAATGGTATATTGGCGGGCCTTGCCGTGCCGCGGTCCACCACGATTTTTTTTTTATTTTTAAAAATATATATATTATACAAAATCGATACATACATGTTATAAAAATAACGTGCCGTGCCAATTTTCAATATTTGTGTTCACGGCCCGGCCCACAAGTGGGCCGCCGTGCCGTGCCGGAATCGTGCCGCCCGCGTGCCGGCACGGCCCATGCCCACCTCTATATCTAAGCTTATTATACTTCAAGTAAATGAAAATAAGGTGAATAGAACTTATCTAAACTTAATATACTAATTACACCACTTATTTTTTTAGAAAGTTTCATAAGCATTACACCATATATATTTTAAAAAAACAAAACATATGCGTTTACAGTGCAAATACCCAATATAGCCCTTACTTTTAACACTTGATTTTTTAATGTGTACTTTAAAAAAGTTGGTTAATAAGGTACAATTGTAGTATTTTACAGAAAATTTAGGTAAAATCACTAACATTATGACATTGCTAACATCATCAAACTGTTAATGGTATATTGGTATTAGCAGTTTTTCCATAGGCAACTTATTTACAGTGTGAGTTAGAGTAGTGGTTATCAAGATGATAAACTTGTGCAAAGTATACATTTTTTCAATACAAGTATGTAACGATTCTGGACTCATGGTTATAAGGAGAAAAAAAACAATTATCTAGTGGCATTTTCATAAATAAATTACGGAGTAATAACTTTTTGTTAAATGCGGCTTTCGTAAGTGTAGATTTATTTTCAAAAAAATGTCATGCTGATTGATATTTTTTGTTGATTTAACTACAAATGTTATTCAATAAACGATTTTTGTTTATAAATTTGCAAAATACTTGCCAAAATGAAAATGCTAAAAGTCAATTAGTAATTAAGATAAAAATAATAAATTGATAATTTAAATTCATAACCCTAACCCTGTTCCTAAGCTGTTTAAAATGGAGTCTCTCTGGTATTTTCACCCTGGGTTCAAATTATTTGTGGATAGTGCCTGGTCAAGTCTGCAGGGCAACCTTAGTGACAAGCTCTCTGCTATAACCCCCTCTATCCTCACCTGGACTAAAGACAATGTGCCTAACTTCAGGAAGGTTATAAGACAGACCTTAAAAAGGTTAGAAGGTACCCAGGAAGCCCTTGAAAATGAACCTACCAGCCAATTTCTCCATAATCTTGAGTATGCCCTTTGTTCTGACCTTTCCAGAGCCTATAAAGAGGAACAAGCCTTTTGGGCCATTAGATCTAGAATCACTTGGTTGAATGAGGGAGATAGAAACACCAGTTTTTTCCACAATTCAGTCCTAATTAAGAGAAGAAGAAATAAGATTCAGAATCTTAGGAACAATGTGGGGGAGGATATCCCTGAGCATCAGCTGTCTAATCATATTTCCTCCTTCTTTTCTTCCCTATTTTCAAGCCAGGGGTGTATTATCCCTAATCTTCAAAGCCCTACTCCTCATATCAGCATTGCTATGCCACCCTCTATTGGTGAAATACACTTGGCCATCTTCTCTATGGGGAAATTCAAGGCCCCTGGGCCAGATGGTTTTCACCCCTTCTTCTTTCAGCGGCATTGGGCCACCATCTGGCCTGATCTGCTAGCTTTCTGTCACCAGTGCTTCTCCACCAAGTCCCTCCCTTCAGGAACCAACAACACTTGCATCTCTCTAATTCCCAAAATCCAAAACCCTGAAACCATCAAACAGTTCAAACCCATTAGCCTCTGTAATACCTCCTACAAGATCATAACCAAGATCTTGGTGCAAAGAATCAGGCCCCACCTCAACTCCATCATCTCCCCTAATCAAAGCAGCTTCCTACCTGGTAGAGGTTGTGACAGTAATTATCTAGCTGCTTATGAGATTCTCCATTCCATGAAAAAGAAATCTGGTCAAAAATCTTGGTTCACCATCAAAATTGACTTAGAAAAAGTGTATGATAGACTTGAGTGGGACTTTATTCACTTCTGCCTTACTAGGACTGGTTTTGATAGGGACTCTATTCAGCTGATCATGCATTGCATCTCCAATCCTAGCTTCCATGTTAAGGTTAATGGTGTCAATTCCTCTGACTTCCCTGCTTCGAGAGGCATTAGGCAGGGGGATCCTCTATCCCCCTACATCTTCATAATCTGCATGAACTACCTCTCCTTCCTTATTGAGTCAGCTTGCCAGGAGGGAACCTGGATACCTTTTAGATTTAGGAAGCACAATACCCTTGTCTCTCATCTCATGTTTGCTGATGACCTTTTGCTTTTTGGAGAGGCATCTCCTGGCACCCTTGCTAGCATGCAATCTACTCTATCAAACTTTTGGGATGTGTCTGGCCAGTGCATGAATAATGCTAAGAGTAAATTGTATTTTTCAAAGAATGCCTCCCCTTTCATCAAAGACCTGTTCACCTCCACTCTCTCCATTTCTGCAAGTGATGACCTTGGCATATACCTAGGTTTTCCCCTCACTGATAAAAGGCCAACTCCTTCCCAGCTTAGCCATATCACCAAGAAATTGAATTCCAAACTCAATGCTTGGAAAGCCAAGAATCTATCAAAAGCTGGTAGAGCAGTGCTAATCAAATCTTCCCTGGCTGCAATCCCTGCCTATACCATGCAGACCATTATGCTTCCTAAGAAAATTACATCTACCATTGATCAAATTTGTAGTAGGTTCTTCTGGGGTACTACCACTGAAAAGAGGAAAACCCCTATGTTGGCTTGGTCAAAAATCTATTGTCCTAAGGATTTGGGGGGTTTGGGATTTAGGTTGACTCACATCCAGAATACTGTCCTCATGGCTAAATTGGGTTGGAAAATTCAGAATTCAAACAACTTGGCTGCAACTTTAATCAAAGAAAAATACTGCCATAGGCCTCATCCAACCAAGTTTAGTAATGGCTCTCACATTTGGCAAGACATAGGGAAAGGGTGGGACCTGCTAACCTCCTTTTCTCAGTGGGCTATAGGTAAAGGCAATATTTGTTCCCTTTGGAATGACAATTGGACAGGGCTTGGGAATCTCAGGAGTTTAGTTCAAGGCCCTCTAAATGACCATGATGACTCTCTCACTGTTGATCATATCTTATCTGAGGGTCAGTTCAATCCCTCCCCTCTGGAACCCTTTCTCCCCCCCCCCCAAGTCATTTCTCATATCCACAGTATGATCCCCCCCTGTTTTGGTGAGGATCAGATTTTCTCTGCCTAAGGTAAGGGTGACTTTTTTGATGCAAAAATTGCTTACCTTCATCTTTGGCTTCAGCAAAATAATCACCCCCATCCTAATAAGGATTATCTGTCTAAGGTATGGCAATTGGCCATTCCCCCTCCTGTCAAATTCTTCCTCTGGTTAGGCTTATGGAATAGGTTACCCACTGTAGACCACCTCCATACTAGGCACATTATAACCTCTGAATCTTGCAGCTTTTTCCCTGGTACCCCTGAAACTCTTAGCCATGTACTTAGAGACTGCAATAGAGCTCAGGAAATGTGGAATCTTATCTCCCCCCTACTACAGACCAACACTCCAATGGATATGATTGGATATGTGCAAATTTGGACATTACCACTCCCCATGACCTATTTCAGCTTCCTTGGAACCAAACCTTTGCTTTAATTGCTTGGAGACTTTGGCTTAGAAGGAATGAATGGCTTTTCAATAAAAAATCAACCCCTGTCTCTAATCATATCCATGCTGCCAAGTCTTGGGCCCTTGAGATAGCCTGGCTAGGTCCAAACTCTTCAAACCAGACCCTTGTTGTTACTACCAATCCCCTTTATCAGGTTATGGTGGATTCTAGCCTTTGTATAACAGTTGATGCTTCTTTTAAAAGGCAGGGAAATGCTGCAAGCTTTGCTTGCATTTGTAGAGACCAGCAACAGAACTGGGTTAAAGGTATTGCAGCTAATACATGGGCCTCATCTGCCCTTATGGCTGAAACTATGGCTATTCATGCTGCTGTCCAATGGATTCTGATAGAAGGCTGGGAAGATGTAACCATCATCTCTGACTCTCAGGCAGCAGTCAATGAAATTACAAAACCTAACATTGCTTTTGATGAATTGGGGAACCATTACTCATTTTGTAGGGACCAAATAAGCAGGATATCAAGGGGAAAGCTGTTCAAGGGCCCCAGGGGTCAAGTCAGGGAAGCAGATGTGGTGGCCAAGCAAGCTATGCTCAATCTAACAACCTCAAATAGGCTGGAATGGAACTTCAGCACTCTGCTCAGGATCTGTGTAATTATTAACCCTCCTGGTGTTGGAGTGGAATTATGTAATAGCAGTAGTGTATCTTTTGGCAGTAAACTTCTATCTGATCATAACTTAGAACAATATTTGGGTGCTAGTACACCACTTTTGAATCCACCTTGATAATGGTGGTGATAACTGTATGGTGGCCTATAGTCAGGCCTAAAGTTTGTAAACTTGTTACTATGTTAACCCTTTAATGCAGTTCTTTTCTACCAAAAAAAAAAAATAGTAAGCTAATAATAATAAACTGATAATTTAAGGGCCTATTCACATTTACTGAACTGAGCTGATTGGAGCTGAACTGAAGTGAACTGAACTGAATTGGAACTGAACTGAATTGAGCTGAACTGAATACTTTATGAGAGAGGAAAATTAAGAGCTGAACTGAACTGAACTGATTATAGCTGAACTGAAATGAAATTAAGTAAATGTGAATAGACCCTAAATTGATAATCAAACTAGCTACAAACATAATTAGCTTGAAAGCTTATGTGGCATGACAAACTAATTTAACAATTAACTTGTCATTGGAGTTGTTCAAACACAACGCCTCCGAGTCTCGGTCTCTCGGATGGTCGGACCCTTGGTAATACTCCGTAGCTACACTTGTACACTGGCACAGTGAACTTCTTTTATTCCCTTCATTTCCTCACTCATTCGCAATTGTCGCAAGTTCCATTTCAAAGATGTTAGACGCCGTGTGTTCCAGTTCATCGCAATTCCGCCTTCAAATTACGCCACCCAACCATCGCCACCACAACCACCGCTGCTCCCTCAATTTTCCGAGACGCCGTAATCTCATTGCTTCATCTCTTCCTCCTCCTTCTTCTAATTACATTTCTCAGGCTATTTTGTCCCAGAAGTTTCCTGATGGTTCTCCCTCCTCTGCCAACGACGCTGCTAACCCCTTCCTAGTATGTCTTCTTTTTCAAATTTTCTGGGTTTTTTTAAAATTTTTTTGTGAATTTTTGTGGGTTTTTTTTTTTTCGGTTGTTCTTAATTTTGCTATATTTGATATTGCTGGTTAATTTATAGTTATTTTTACATATTTATGTTGGTATTGCAGAGCCATTGACGTCCAGTGTTGCTTCAAAATCTGATGGGTCCCGTCTTCGTGTTGCCTACCAGGTATTCTGGGTTTTTATTTTTTATTTTTTTTTTGTTTATAATATTTAAATTTTTTTTTATTTTTATTTTGGCATGTTTTGGAACAAGTGAATTAACAATATAATGACAATGAAATCGTTCCTAAGTGTAATTCGGTCGAAGATGTAGTTAGAGGCTTTAATATATTGACAATGTAATGACAATGAAATCGTGCCTTGGTTCATATGTGTTATTTGGTCAAATATGTAGTAAGAGGCTTTAATGAATTAACAATGTAATAACAATGAAATCGTGCCCTGATTCGTAAGTGTTACTTGGTCAAATATGTATTTAGACGCTTAAACGCATAGAGCATTGTTGTTATTAGTAGAGAATGGTAATGATCATGGACTGTAAAAGAACATACTTAGCTACTAGTGAGAGTAGTGACAAATTGACAGTACAATTCCTTTCGATCAATGATTTGGATAATAAATTATTTTCTTTCATATTTTTGTATTTATATGTTACATTATCACATGATGAATATACATGGGGTTGATTTTTTCTTTTCTCTCTTCAAAAAGAAGTCATTGACTGCGTTTTTTTTTCCCCTGAGATATTGGTGATGATTTGATGTTTTTGAGAGGTTGCTTATGATTCAATTGTGTTTTTGAGAAGTTGGTGATGATTTTATTGTATTTTGGAGAACTTTGATGATGAATTTATGTGGGAGAATGTTGGTATCTTTGTATATACTGGCACTTTATTGATTAGAGTTTTATAGGCTGGAAACTAAACACTTCTTAAAGGTGGAAGCTGCCCTTGTTAAAGAGTTGCTTGTTTAGTGTGTATGTTTTTCATGTTTTTATTAACTTTATCTATTCCCGTTAGTGTGGCATGAAGTTGGGGAATATGGAGAAATTGGAGAGAGATTTGGTGGTGTGGAAAATGGACCCAAAGAGTTTTCATTGGGTAATGTAGGAAGAAGTTTGTCATCACTAGTAAGATACGGATTGGGAGCATCAAAATGTGATGCTAAGTGGTTAGGCTGATGGACCCAAAAGCTCTCTTGTGCTTTTAAAAGTGTAATTTGGAAGTCTATTATAGCTTATTTGCAAAATAAAAATTAGTTTGTTGTGGGTTTTAAGGTGAATGCTGGGTCTTGGATGGTGGTTAAACTTTTAAGGATTGATTTTCAAATCATATAATTAGTTGCATAGGATGTTTTTGTGGATTTTTCTTTGGGATGCTTATAAATTGCTTGTCTTCCCATATCCTTTTCTGCACTTCTTAAGGCTTAATTGTGAATGCCCTGATTGGATTTCCATATTGGAAGTGTACTTAAAGATGTTGATTTGGTATTTTGGTTTTAGGACAAGACATGTGCTAAAAGTACCACTTTCTTACTTGAAGTGAGTTGTGAAAATATCTACTTCTAAATTTTATAGGAAATTGGCTGCCAAAACACTCCTCCAAAAGCATTTTATATGCAAGTATATATTTTGTATTAGAAAGCTTCTTTGCGCCAAGCTTTTGGAACGGTTTTGAGGTTGTATCTTTGGTGTCAACTCATTTGTCACGTATCTAAGATTGCCGCTGTTAATCAGGTTTCTGATGTAATTTAACTTTTTAGGACCCATAGTTAGACTTGAGCTATTCAGCTCCATGCATCAATATAATGGACTTCATGGCCAATTGATTACAGGCTATGTTACTCGGACTCTTCATTTCACCTCACTTACCCGTGTCGGACCCTCGACACTCGCACATGAGTGGGACACTTGGACACTATATTTTAGTTAAAAATCATTGAATTTGTTTAAAAAAATAGCCGGGTCGAACACTTGGACACGTATCCATGTCGGACATGGGTACCCGAGTCCAAGTAACATAGATTATAAAGCTCCTCAAACACCTTTATTTACTCGGGGTATCAAAATCAATACCCACTGTTCATTAATAAATGATCACATTTTATCAACTAGGAAACTAATTTAAATTGATATACCACCTGAACAAACAGCTCCTACGTAGATTGGATTACTCATGTAGTCATTTTAATCCATTTCTTCAAAGTCAACATTACTAATTTACTATGCAAGAAAAGCCATGCCCAAAGCTCTTAATTCTAATTCAACATGTAATAATGGGTAAGTTGAATGCTCTTGCATCAGTGGAGATTTTGTATTTAGCCATGTGTTAAACGTCTGTACTGGTTTATCACTGTATTTGAATGCCATGAAGCTGGATATTGGAGGACTGGTTGAAGATGGCATTTAAGTAGACACACTGCTTGACTTTTACCTCTTTCAATTGTGCAATGATGAAATAACCGGGTGCACAAAGCCAAACTTTAGGGCTTGTTTAGCATTGTTTTTTGCTTTCAGTTTTTAGTTTTTTTGAAAACAAAAAACCAAAAGGAAACAAGAAAAAGGTGTTTCCACTTTTCTGTTGTCAGTTTTCAATATTATCATGATTTTTAATGGGTTTGTCTAATTTTTGTTCTATTATATGACATATCATATGAGTTTGAAAACCAAAAAACAGAAAACCACAACGATGCCAAACGAACCCTAATAAATAGGTGTTTTTTTTTTTTTTTTTTTTTTTTTTTTTTTTTTTTTTTTCTCCTGATGATGTAATGATGTAATTTTTTAAATATTTATAATCTTCTACTTGTTGCTTCAAAAAAATTAAAAAATTCCACTTGAGTTTATCAATGCATAGCTTTTATATGAGTTTTTGGATAATTTCTTGTTTATTACTTTTGTCTCTGTACATAATATGTCATAGCAAGAAATTACATTTGTACTGATTTGGTGGGCTTCTGCAACTGTAGGGGGTTAATGGTGCATATAGTGAGCTGGCTGCGGAGACTGCTTATCCAAATTGTGAAGCAGTTCCTTGTGATCAATTTGACACAGCTTTTGAAGTGAGTCTTTTGCCTCATTGATTCTGAAATAATTACATGCTATATTGCTTTGTTATTGAAAATGAACCAGGGTTTATGTTACTACGAAGTACATTCATGCTGTTTTATTTAAATATAAAGAGGGAATTCTTAGTTGTATGTACTTTGAATATATGCATCTGTGTCTCCACAAATCCTTCGCTTTATGTTGAAGTGCTCATTATATGCATGGGAAATACTCTTGTACATCACAAAGAACCTCCAAGTAGGATGCCAATGCTGTTTGAATATATTAACTCACCATTGGAATCTATCAATAGGGACTATTGTTGGTGAGATGAGTAAAGTGGGTTTAGTCTTAGCTAGGGTCATACAGTAATAAAGTATAGAACACCTAGATTTGTCCTAGTTTGGTGCTTTCATGTTTTACTTTTCTCTTTGATGTCCTTGCTGCTTCAAGTATGATATGCCTTGAAATTAGAAAGGTTAGGGGTTGAGTAGATAGACTGATTTTCAAGAGTGCCATGTTCTATCCTCTGTTCCTAAATTGGGATTCAATAGTTGGCAATTATTTATTTATTTATTTATTTTTGTCAAGGTTAAATTTTACGGTTTTTGATGAAAGAATAGAAAATCATGATTTGTTTGTTATTACTGTTCCCTTACACTTCAACGAGTTCAACTTGTGCTGTGCTGTTACTAATTGGATTTAAGGCATAACTTTATAGTGTTTATGGGTTCAACAAACTGTCTTTTTTTAATGATTTGCATCCTTTGCTGCAGGCTCTTGAGCGCTGGCTTGTTGATCGAGCAGTTTTACCTATTGAGAATTCTCTTGGGGGTAGCATCCACAGAAATTATGATCTTTTGTTGAGGCACAGGTTGCATATAGTGGGAGAGGTGAAGCTTCCAATTCGGCATTGCTTGTTGGCGAACCCTGGTGTCAAGATTGACGAATTGAAAAGGGTGTTAAGCCATCCCCAGGTATTTCCCAATACAAATGTGAGGTATCTTAGTTTATGATATGTGGCTGAATTTTAAAAGAAATTTATGTAGGCTCTTGCTCAGTGTGAGCACACATTAGCTAAGTTTGGAGTGACCAGAGAAGCTGTGGATGATACTGCTGGTGCAGCAAAGGTGAAATTCTTTCTTTCTCTAGATGACCCTTTAAAGAGTATTATAAGGATAAAATATTTAATTGACCTTCATTAATGTATACACTTTGGTGTATTTTGCTTATAGATGTTTTTTTTTTCCTACAATATGGAGTCACATGATATATACTTCCTCTGTTACACATTATGTGCAACAAACCTTGTTGCACGTTTCCCAAGACAAAATTTGTTAAAAGGCGATTAACAAAGTAAAGGGTTTGTGATTAAGGGTAGGAGAGAGAAAGGGGGAAAATTAATCAACAGGGTTTGTGATTAAGGGTAGGAAAGAGAAAGGGGGAAAATTAATCAACCACCACCACCACACCTACCAGCAGCAACATCCACCACGCCTACCACCCACCACCCACCAGCAGCAACATCCACCACCACCCACATCTACCCACGCCCCGAAACCACCACCACCACCTCATCCCGTCTCATCACCATAACCACCCAAAACCCACTCTAGACAACTCGCATCAACACTGCAACTCGTAACCCAGTCACCACCGCCAAGATTCGAAACCCCAACCCACCCAAGTTGCAGCCACAACCAAGATCTGAAACCCCTCCAAAACCACCGAAAACCAACCTTTACCAATTCTTAGCCACAATAAAACCTGATTAATTTTGAGGGTTTTAATTTTGAGGATGATTGGCGGCTATTAAAAGGGGAAAAAGAGTCGGCGACGACTTTGACGAGGGAAAATAGGGCTAGTGACTCGATTGATGGTGGTTTCCTTATAAGAATAAAGAAAGAGAAACGGCTTTTGGTTCGGTATGGCTGGTCGGAAATTTTCCAGGAATTTCAGGGCGGCAGCTATGGAGTGGGAGTTCGAGGTTATGGGTGGCCGGCTGAGTGGGGCATTTCGGCCTGGATGTGGGCTGGGGTCGTGGCAGTGAGAGAAGAGAGTGAAAAGTAGTTGTGGTTGTGGTGGTGGTTGTGGTGGAGGTGAGAGAATACTTGGTGATGATGGCGGTGGATAGGTTTTGAGGGAGGAGAGAGATTAAGATTAGGGATTTAATCATAAATGAATTAATTTAGTTTAATATAATAATAACATATAATCTTATTAATTGAATGTGTGTTATTGAACTTAAGTAAGAGCACATGGGTCATTTTACACAAAAATATTTACTATAAATGGAATTTTTTACTTTGTTGCACATAATGTGTAACTTCCGTTTTGAAAATTGTTGCACATAATGCGTAACAGAGGAAGTATATGCAAATGGCTATGATGTAAGCAAACTTGGACAAAGGGATTAATTTTCTCTTGTTTAAATATATAATGAAAATGTTAAGTTTTGGATTGTTATTGTGGAAATTGAAGATGTAAGCAAACATCAGTATTTTAGATTCCCTTAGTTTTCCATAGGTGTTCCATTGGTTTTGCAAGGTATACTATGTGAATCGAAATGCTCCAAATAACTATACGATTTCCACGCCATTCAACAAATTTATATTTCCATTGTTTTCTCTTTAAATAAAAAAAATGGAAAAATCAAGGATTGCATAAATGTCACACTTGTAGTAAGTTTTTTAAAGCAGTATCAAGTTCTAAGAGTGTAACTAGGCGCATAGCTCCTATATGTTTTGTAAACATATAGGAGGGTAAAATTGTAAATTTGACAAGTTTTTGAAAAAGGTTCACTCTACAATGGTACATTATAATGTATCATTATGTACCATTATGCATGTATAATATACTATTAAAATATAAATTATCTGAATAGTACTTTTTGTGTACTATTATGCATGTAGTGGTACTTTTTACCATCATATACGTTGAATATTTTCCCCTAAAATATTTATCACCTATTATACATATAATGCTACATTTTTCATCCTATATATTTGCTTAACCTATAGGAGCTATGCGCTAAGGGTTAATCAAGTTCTAAACACACTATTTGAATTCATCTAATTTTTCCCCTTAGTCAACCCTTGTATATTAAAGCTTCAATTTAATGCTATGGATTAGGGAAAACAAGATAGAAGTAGTGGTAGTTTCGAGCTTTAAGTAATTGTGAGAAAATAAGACTTCACAATGAAATTGAAATTAATCAATCATTTGATCACTCTTCTGGAATATGTTATGAAATTAAGGCAGATTGATTGATAAATAATGTGTTAATTTGTGCAAAACTAGCAATATATATAGAACAGAAACATGATAAAATAAAGGCAAAATTGGTCTAATTGAATTATTTCTGAAGTGCACCCAACACCACAAACTAATGACTTGGCTGCAAAGCGTACCTTTAGTGAGTTTTCCAGCCACCATTCTCGCCAGAGCCACATAGAGTAAATTTTATTTTTTGATTTGCGTGCTGAAAATTTTCTCGTTAAGTTTCGAGGGTCATTTTGGCTCTTAAGGGTCCAAATTGAACTCGGAATAAGCAAAAAACTAATGTAAATAACTCGTTTTGCGTATAATAAAAATATCTTGATTTGTGTGTCATTGTTTTTATAGCCGAATTGAGTCATTTACGCTATTGTTTTTGCTTATTCTGAGGTCAATTTGGTCCTTTAACTTAAAACCCAAAATGACCCCTGAAACCTTAATAGGACATTTTTCGACACGCAAATCAAAAATTAAAAATTTAATTCACCGGGCGAGAATAGTAGCCAGAAAACTCACTAAAGGTACGCTTTGCACCCAAGTCATTAGTTTGTTGTGTTTTTGCTACTTCAAAGTACTTGGGTGCACCCTAGCCATAGTTCAGAGTGTTAGGCCAATTTTGCCTAAAATAAATGTAAAGAAGATGAACAACATATATATGTGGTTTATTCGACATGACCTACTCAATAGGGTAAGGGATGATACCATCTTATTAAATTTAATGGATTTAATAAATTTTCAGAAAATTATAGAAGAAATAATATGCTCTCTCCCTCTCAAAGACCTCTCTAATAACTTGAGTTACATGACATCTTGGCTAAAATTCACTTCACTTATGGCTTCACACACTCATCCAATGGTCATGGGCTTCTGGGTTCATTAGCACAATTTTAGTTCAATGGATTTACAACCTTTTTTAATGTTGTATTTAGGGGTAAGTGTTAATGAGTTAAAGGATTGTCTACCTAGCAAGTTGAAACTTCTTTTTGTTATGCTTTTCTTCAGTAGTCTGCTAATTGAATCAGAGTTTACTTTTTGAGCATTAAGTTTCAAATAAATACTTCCTTCGTTCTTTTTTAATCACAACATGTAGAATTTTACACTTTTCACATACACAGACATACTCCTTTTGATTGTCTCTTATGATTATACGTTGGAAAAAATACTATTGTGGGATTTTGTTAGATTTGTCTCGAAGTATACTTTTAAAATATTAACTTTTTATAATTTTTACTAGAATACAATTCAAGATATTAAAGTCATAAAATGTGCATTGGCGAGCATGAAATCCAAAACGTTGCGATTAAATAAGAACGGAAGAAGTACATAACAAGGTGTAACCTCTTTAATTTTTGCTTATCTCTACTTATAGTTTGTTGCATTCAACAAACTTAAAGATGCAGGTGCAGTTGCAAGTGCTGCTGCTGCAAGGATCTACGGCTTAAATGTACTTGCTGAAGATATACAGGTTTGTAACAACTTCTAGTTGAGCCAACTTTGCGGGATTCTTATGAATGTCTTGGATGACCAATGTTCCTTTTGTAGGATGATTCTGATAATGTCACTAGATTTCTAATGTTAGCAAGGGAACCCATAATTCCAGGAAGTGATAGGCCCTTTAAGGTAAGCCCTTCTTTGAAAGTTAAGTTTTAACATTGATCAACTTTGATCAAACTTTCATAATTACCTTCCTGCTCTTTTCTGTTGAATATGCTGAGTAATTAGCTAATGGAAGTATTATTTTCAACTGTAGACAAGCATTGTTTTCTCGCACACAGAGGGTCCTGGTGCACTTTTTAAGGCTCTAGCTGTTTTTGCTCTGAGGCACATTAATCTGACAAAGGTATCTTTATTTTTGTAAAGATTAATGTTTCTTTTAATTATCTAGGATAGATAATTGATTGTCTTTTTTTTTTTTTTTTAAATAAAAAATTTCTTTCAGCATGGTTGTGAACACGGTGTGACAGTACGCAGAATGCTCTAGGGTTAATCACTTTTATGATGTTAGCTTGGTAATTAATGCTCCGTAACATTTTCTTTTTTTTTTGTTGGCTTTCTTGTGCCAGATTGAGAGTCGGCCACTGCGAAATAGCAACAATGGTTCTTCGAAGTATATTTTGCAACGTTTTTTTTTTTTTTTTTTTTTTTTTTTTTTTCCATTTTCTCTTCTGCGTTTTAAGTGGAATGACTCGGACATGGATGTGATATAATTGTTGTTTTAACTGTAATTTTACCAGGTGTTTTGACTATCTTTTTTACTTGGATTTTGAAGCATCTATGGCTGATCCCAATGCGCAAAATGCCCTTAGGCATCTTGGGGTAATGTCTCTTATATCTTTCACCTAAACGTGGCCATAATTATTTATTATTATTGTTATTGTTATTGTTATTGTTATTGTTATTGTTATTGTTACTTTAATATATATACATATTAATTTCCAGTATGTAACCATCATCTCTCATGGCAGGAATTTGCTACTCTTTTGCGAGTTCTAGGAAGTTATCCAGCAGACACGAGTAGGAGGTGATTATTGAGTTCTGGTAGGGATTCATCATTGGGGCAAGCATTGATGCTTAAATTACTCTTTTTTTTGAAATTCTATTCTTGTTCTTGGCCCATATACTGCAATATTTATATATCACAACATGCATCATGAGATCAGCTTCGAAAAAATTGCTGGAAAATAAGGAGTGCAACTAGGAATTTGGCATTTTGAATTACTGGTGCGTCGTGTATGAAATCTTGATTTACAAATCTTGAATTATAGCTATGCATTTGGATGTTATTGTTGGAAACATTCCTAATGAACAGCTAGTTAGATTAGGCTGTGTACATCTCAACCTCTTAGAACTCCTCATATCCTTTACGAGTTGGGTGAGTAACACAATGTGGTAGTCTTTTACTGGCATCTTGGGGCTTCATTAAAATGGGTATATATAAATCTACAATGCCTTGGTAGTTTATCACTTAGATCACTTACCATGAACAATAATAAAGTGATGCTAATTGGATCCTGGAGTGGTGTGCTGTGAGTTTTTGTACTCAGCTTTGACTGGTGTTGGTGCCATGGTAGAAGCCAATAACATAGCTGATAGGATAAGGAAAGAAAAAAAATGCAATCATTTGAATGAAACTACTATGATGCACATGGAAAATAGTTCCTCTAATATGGGAAGTAGAGATCAAAATATGTAAAAGAGGTTGATTGAGTGGGGCTAGTCCCCTTTTTTGTTAACAGTTTAGCATGGTGGGGAAGGAGGTTTGTAGAATTTAGATGTTTAAGGAGAATTAATATGAATGTTAAATGCTTGGTGAATTTACTATATGAGTGAGGCTTTTTTCCATTTTTTTTTTGGAAGGGGGGTTGGGTGGGTGGATTAAGTTCTGATTGTATTAAAAAATTGGAGAGGATCAAGATCCAAGAAACATATTATCAAGCCTATTGGAATAAGCGTCTTGTAGTATGGAGTACTGACTGCGATGTTCAATTTGCTTATCTGGAGCTGCTGTATACTCCCTCTGTTCTGCATTTCATTTCATAATATAAGGATAGGATATAGGTATGGTATAGGATGTGGTAGGTGTTTTCTAGAAGATAAGAAATGGTTATTATAGTAGGATTAGAAAAATTGAAGTCAGATAGAAATCATAGAATGATAGAAGGAAAGAAATAAGAGAAAGTAGAGGTTGGAGAGAGAAAAAGTGTTGATGTGATCTGCGATTGTGAGTATTTAAATCAAAAAGAGGTGAAACATGAATCAGGTTATTGTGATACCAACTTTGTGGGATGTGTGTTGTTTCTGAAGGACAGTGGCTGAGTTATTTTGCCTCCTTGTGCGGTTGTATCACTTGTATGATACCCTGATTTCATTTTCCAATTCTGCCGAAATCTTTGGGGAGTGGGGATTGGTTCCTAGTTTCAACCTGTGATGTATGATGCTGTAGTGGTGATTCTTGGTGGAAGCATTATGGATCTAACATTATTGTATAGATTTTAGGATTGCATTGTTTGAGCTCCTTTGTGATATATTATTTGTGTTAATGGGTCAAAGTTCTTGTTTTAAAGATTTATTATTAAAACTGAGAAGTTACATCATGGATGTCTTGTGACTTTTTAACGAGGCTTAACATCTAGGTCTTTGGGGGGTGGGGATTGGTTCCTAGTTTCAACCTGTGATGTATGATGCTGTAGTGGTGATTCTTGGTGGAAGCATTATGGATCTAACATTATTGTATAGATTTTAGGATTGCATTGTTTGAGTTTCTTTGTGATATATTATTTGTGTTAATGGGTCAAAGTTCTTGTTTTAAAGATTTATTATTAAAATTGAGAAGTTACATCATGGATGTCTTGTGACTTTTTAACGAGGCTTAACATCTAGGTTGAGTCAATATACAGCAATAATGGGCTTTGTGTCAAGTTTCCGCAAACCTAGTCGTATCAATGATTTGATAAGTCTTCTCGGTAACCATCATTGTGATTTTTAAGAAATTCTATTTGATCCATCTGATACTAATTTCGACCTCTATATCTTTTCTTAGATGCTTGATTTCTAGCTCTTCACTACATCCTTGATGGTGATGTTGAGCTACAAGAGGTAACATGTAAAGTGAAGTTAGGCTTTTAAGTTTGTCTAGAATTATCAACGATTTATCTTTCTAATACACACCATTCATTTTTAGAATTTGTTGGTGTAGGATTGGTAGGCTAACCTTTGATTACAGACTACCAACCTCGACGAACACCAATTTCTTAAAGTCGTTGAGTGGGTTTGAGGCAATGATCAGTGAGTATGCAGAAGGAGAAATAAGTAGAAGAGCTGGATCTTTGCAATTTATTACATATGATGTTCATCTAAGAAACCTGTAGTGACTTTAATTATCACAAGGATTCAAATGGGTTCATGTTTCTACACTTGGCATGTCTTGACTCATCTAAACAGCCTCTGTAAGTCCTGCTCATAAAATGGAATTGTGATTGGAAATGGGAGTGGTGCATATCACAAGTGGATCTAAGATTCGGTGTAAAGGTCTGATGTAATTACTCCTCTTGGTTGTGATGCTCGAGTAGTCTTTCAAATGGATCCTTTAAAGAGAGCAGAGTAAGGTTATTCTGAAAAGCCCTATGAATATGATTCCGTTAAGGAAACAACTCTAACCGAGGGCCATTTTCCTATTTGCTTTTCACTCATCTTTTTAACAATACAGAGATATAAATCTATTTAGATGTGGTATGTGGCTTTTATGGCCTATACTTGTGCGTCCATGGTGGCTTACATTTTGTTCTTCATTACTTGTTATGTATATGAGACTCAAATAGGCAATCTATATTTCTGTTCCAGATCAAGGCTTGAAATTGCCTTGCTTTCAGCGCGTTTTCTCTGATATTAATTTTGGATTCAACCAATGGTCCTAATGGAATTGATGTCTCTATGCAATCAGAAATCTAGAACTTGGATGTTGTGAGTGTAGGAAAATTATAAAAGAATGATGCTCTAATTGATTTTGTAAATATGCAAAACTCTGGATGTCTGAATTTTTTTTAAGAGATTTACAACTGACTAATTTCTTACTGTCCTCTTTGATGCAGGTCTTTTCAAGCTTTCTCAATGCCATGACAATGATTGCCATTGTTGCAATTTTGACTTCCCTGCAAAGGGACATGATCCTCTTCATATCTTAAAAGAAATGGAGAATCCATTTCTCTAAATGACGGTCGGATGAGGAAATAGGGCTTTTTTTAAATAATCTTAAGATCGGAAGTTGAGGAAGGTGGGGGTATATAATATGCTGCGTGCTGGAGTTCATTAAATACACGCCTTTAGTCTGGACGTTAAACAATACAGTATGAATATGCAATTTATTTCACATTTTGTGGTGGCTTCACTGGTTTTGAGATTTCTAGTGTCCATGATTTCCAATTGGTTATATACATGTTTTTTAACTTAGGTGCAGATGCCCAAGTAAAACTTTGTGATTAGCAATTATTCAATATCCCGGAGAAGGTTTATTAACCTATCACAATACCAAACAAGTACATTTTTGTACAAAAAAAAAGTCAAATAATATTGGTACAAAATAAGTAATTTTAGTCCAAAAATGTGCCTGTTTGGTACTATGAGTCTGTGATAGGTTGATTATAACGCCTTGCCCCTCTCTCAAATCTCAATATCCTTGCCTTGGCAAGTTCTAATACTACCTCCGTTAATTATTATGTGCAACAAAGGAATATTTTATGTCTCACAAATAATATCCCTTTGTTGCAGATAATAATTAACAGAGGTAGTAAAAGGGATGACTAAATATTGCTATTACAAGAATTGCAAAACCTTATGGTACTTTGGATACCATCGAGGACTGTTGAAGTGACTATTTCCTGGAAATTAGGAGGCGTTAAAGATAGAGACTTATAAAAGTATTGTTGTTTGAAAATTTATTTACACTTTTATGTTTGAATAAAACTTACGGAATTATTGTCCATAAAAGCTCAAATAAGTTTTTTTTTAAAATTTATTTTTCATGGTAAAACCACGACCTCAAGTAGCGGTTTATATACTAAAACTATTGCCTTCTGCTACTTAAGGTAGCAGTTTATGAGACAAACCGCTACCTTCTGCTACTTAAGGTAGCGATTTATGAGACAAACCTTATGGTAGCGATTTATGGGACAAACCGCTACCTTAGTGGTTAGTCTTTAGTACTCCAATAATACTTATGGTAGCGGTTTGTCACTACAAAAAAATAAAAAAATAAAAAAAATAAAAAAATACCCCAACAAATGTAATTCTGAGCTTACGTAGATTAAATTTTGGAAAAATGGAAACTAATAATCCCACCTTCGGGTTTTCTTCTCAAAACAATCCCACCTTTTTGAAATCCCAAAACAATCCCACCTTTGCCCCTCATCTGCTCAAAACAAGCCTTTCAACCAACAACCTATTTAACCGGTTAAATTTTAATATTTTTTAATTTTTTTTTAATATCTCATCTCCCACCTTAGCACTTTACCATGGTTACTATCACAGCGTAATTTTTCGCGTTGCGCGGCATTAGGAAACGCCCCCTAGTCAGCCTAACTTTAAAGCCTACGAGATTAGAATACCCTCGTGAATTTTACGCGGAAGCAATACTTAAACAATATAACCAAACACCCAATATTAAACCGAAAGGCAACCATATATTTTATTGATGATCAAACAAAGATACAAGTGTTTGAATGAATAAATATCAACATGCCTTGGTGTCACGGTCCGGGAGTTTGGACCCCGAAACGTGCGGCGCGCTCTAGCCTTTTGGCGGCAAGAACGCTAGCCTTGAGCGGAAGAGGGGCTTGTGAGCACAAAGCAACACAAGCGGCCAATAGAATCTCAGGAGCACTTACGCCTATCTGGGCGACGGAGTGCGGGTGGTCGGGGCTTGTGACGGCCGATACTTCAAAGCGGGCACAAGCGGGTCCGAACCACGAGTCCTTAGCGCATCAAGTTGGGTTGGAGGGGAGCTAATATGCAAGTAAGACACAATATCTATAAAGGTCTAACAACAAACAAGCATAAAAGCAAGGCAACACTTGGTAGAAGGCTTGAAGATTTCATTAATCATTCGCCCTCTAAAGAGCTTTAAATGACATACAAGGAGAATCCCTAGTGAACACTGATCTGACAGTAACACAATAATGGGACCTCAAGCTAAGAAAACATAACCTAAACTCTAGGAAAGCACTTAAATGGAATCTAATACATCAAAAGGAGTTGGATTCTAACATCCTCCCCCACTTAAGCTGTCGACGACCTCGTCGACTTACAAAAGTTACAATCAAAATTAGAAAACCCTAAACTATCTCAAGTTTCGGATGCGCCGTTGGTGCGGCTATCTTCTGGAATCTTATCTGACTCTTGAGCTGGATCTTCTTTGTTGACGAGGAGCTTGTCTCTGGAGTCGCTCGGCTCGAACATCTTGTTGAGAGCTTCATCTCTAAATTTCCTCCTGGGAGTGGAATCTGTTGAATTAAGGGGGACAGCTGCTTCCACCATCATCTGTTGGGGAGCTGCTTCCTTGAGACTGTGGTGGAGAGCTTCAAGTTGTGGCTGGTGCCTCTTGGGTGACCATTTTCTTTGTAATCCCTTGCACGCGCCCTGCGTTGTTTGCTCAACCACTGTTTTTCCTCCCTCTTGGGAGGTTCTTCTTTGGTGTCTCTGGGCTCGTCGCTCTTTGCTTCGAACCTTGTGACTGATTCTGGTTTTGGCGGGTGTGTATCTGGGATGTTGCCAACTCCATGGGCTTCATCTCCCGCTTCTCTGGGTTTCTGGTGCGAGCTTGTTTCTTCGATGTTGCCTTCTTCTCAGGCTCCATCACTCGCATTGCCGAAAGATATCGGACTTCTGGTTCTTCTTGAGGTGCTATCATTCTCATAGCACTCAGGCGTCGTATGGAACCCGTCCTATATGTGGGCTCCTCATCGCTGCTAGTCTCTTTTGTGGCCTCCTGAACGGACATGGATGACAATCTCTTTTGGATCTTGTTAAGTTCTTTATGCTCGCAATCCCACCATTTGTGTGGACCTCGACAAAGTATGCAGTTTATTGCCCTTGTGTTTGCCGAGGATGCGCCGACCCTCGAGTTTCCTGAGTTGTGGGAGGGGGTAGATGTTTGTCTCTGGGCATCACCTCCTCCACTTCTTCTATGATATGTATTAATGGTGTTGGACGATACTCGTGAGCCGTTCTCTGTACCCTTTGGAGAGCTTGGAGACGGACTGTTAGAGCGTGTTGACGTCCCACTTGAATCCTTCTCGGATTGACGACCCTTCCTGACTGAGTAGTCCATCAATCTCTCAGCAGCACACATAGCAGCAGCGAGGGTATCAATATTCTGCCTCAAAATCTCTCGCTGCGCCCATTCCTTTAACCCGTTGACAAAGTTGAACACACGATCTTTCTCATTCATGTCTGTGATGTCCAACATTATCGCCGAGTATTCCTTAACATAGTTGCGAAGAGAACCCTTCTGGCGGCACTCTTGCAACTTCATCCGTGCAACAAACGCTGTGTTGACGGGGTAGAATTGTTCTTTGAGTTCCTCTTTGAACTCCGCCCATGTATCAATCTTGATCCTTCCTGCTTCGATGTCTGCGTGCTTGGTGCGCCACCACAACTTAGCATCTTCGGACAAGTACATGATGGCAGTATCCACCTTCTGATCGTCACTTAGTTGACATATTTGGAAGTACTGCTCCATGTCGAAGAGGAAGTTATCAACTTCTTTCGCATCTCTAGCGCCACTGTAGTCGCGAGGTTTGGGCGGCTTTATCTTCGCCGCACCAGTGCGTCTCTGCCCACAACGCGCGTTAAGGTAGCACATTTCTCAAGTGCTTCGTCGGCTTTTCCTTGAACAAATTGCAATTGTTCGCGGAGGGCATCTCTGTCAGCCATCAATTTTTCGCAATTTGCTCGGCTTGCTCGTGTACAATGACTTGGAGCTCGGCCCATTTGTCCGCCTTCTCCTCGAGCCAAGCGAGCCTTTCTTCTACGAATTCCATCTTCGTGTAGCCCTCCTTGGTGCCTACACGGGTTGCTTGCGACGAGGTTTGAGCCTCGGCTCTGATACCAACTGTCACGGTCCGGGAGTTTGGACCCCGAAACGTGCGGCGCGCTCTAGCCTTTTGGCGGCAAGAACGCTAGCCTTGAGCGGAAGAGGGGCTTGTGAGCACAAAGAAACACAAGCGGCCAATAGAATCTCAGGAGCAATCACGTCTATCTGGGCGACGGAGTGCGGGTGGTCGGGGCTTGTGACGGCCGATACTTCAAAGCGGGCACAAGCGGGTCCGAACCACGAGTCCTTAGCGCATCAAGTTGGGTTGGAGGGGAGCTAATATGCAAGTAAGACACAATATCTATAAAGGTCTAAAAACAAACAAGCATAAAAGCAAGCCAACACTTGGTAGAAGGCTTTAAGATTTCATTAATCATTCGCCCTCTAAAGAGCTTTAAATGACATACAAGGAGAATCCCTAGTGAACACTGATCTGACAGTAACACAATAATGGGACCTCAAGCTAAGAAAACATAACCTAAACTCTAGGAAAGCACTTAAATGGAATCTAATACATCAAAAGGAGTTGGATTCTAACACTTGGACAACCCCCAAGGTCCTCTATTTATAGACAAATGGAAGGACAACCCCCTCCCTTGGGCGAACAGACACGAGCATGCATGCATGCCAAGTGGCATCCATGCAACGCCTACCTTTGGCTAAACTAATGAACAGATAAACCTAACCCACATAAGCCTAACCGTCCTTATCCACAGCATAGCCACATAGTGCCTCCTTGAAGCATCGCACCTGTTCGCACCAAAAGCAACCTTTCACTCACACTTGTTAACCGTCAGCCATGCCACCATAGGCATCTCACCAACTGACGCATCCCTTGGTGACCAACATTGACCCATCAAGAATAACTACCTTGGCGTGTGCCCAATAGACGCATCAATGAATAGGCACCAAGTAGTCTGACCACACAACCGTTACTTGTGCATGCTCAACTAACATACCATTTCGCCAAGCATTGCGTCGCTCCTCAAGCAACGCATCACTTTGCTAATCAACGTGCTGCTTCGCAAGCATCACGTCGCTTGGCAAGAATCGTGTCTCTTCACTTGCTGTCAGTGCTTCGCCCAAGCCTCGCAACGCTTCCCAAGCGTCGCATCGCTTCGCACCACAACCGATCCCCAAGCGACACTTCGCACAAGCGTGCACCATAGCACAATGTTCAATGGACAACAACCAACCATATGACTTAGTACAAGTACTATAACATTTACTTTTAAGATAGTGTCGTTTCACACACAAACCATAGCTTTGAACCAAGCACTGAAGCACCTATGCGTGCTATGGCACTATAGCCTACGCACCGCATAGCCCCAACCTAAGTCACGCATCCAATCGCACTAAG